TTCTCGGTACTTGAACACGCGCCTGTTTAAGACGTCAATCAATCACCCTGCTGAGGCTGTATTGTACATTGAATTTTTGTATTCCCGCGGTCGATACGATGCCACATTTCCACAAGTTTAACCGTGCGACCTGATATATTTATTTATTATTAATACGCAAGTTGTAAAATTGACTATAATATTTTGAATCTCTTTTTTTCAAGTTTCAAACGACAACTGCAAAATATCATGTTTTTTGTTTGTTTTTCTCCTCCGCGTACCCTGACCTACTGAAACAAAATAAATGTGTCAGTTAGCCGAGGCTACATCACATGGCAAAGTGTCACACCGCAATTCGAACGTTATTATTAATGCTTTGCGTCCATATTTATTCAGCCTTCTCATCGCACAGATATGCCCAGTGTGCATTTTTTTGACATCTAATAGTTAACAAAAAGAAGGCATACAGTTTCTTAAGATAAATTGTGTTGGTCAACATCCGGCTTAAGCGAAATAATGCTCAAATATCACAATTGTCTCACTGAATTAGAGCGAAGAACAATTTTTCACACCGTGAGTTTGAAACAGAAAGATGTTCACCCCGAATCACCATAACAGCATCTTATTCTCTTTCCTGCTGTCTAGTATAAATAGTATATATGAACCGTAGTGTGGATATACCGTCGCTAAAATGCACTTGACTTTGTTGGCAGATGGTGAAAATAAACGTTAATATCATTGAAGTGTCATTGTCACGAAACGCACTCAATAATACACATTAATGAACGAAATAATTCATCCGCGTTCCTATCCGTAATGTATTCTGAAATCCAGCGTTTACAACTTGAACACTTCATACTGATTCATTAATGATCATAAATTCCACCTAGTTTACCCGTGATTCAATAGAAAATCGAATACTGTCAGTACACTATTGCTAAAAATTACCAGTGGCGTAGCTAGATATAACCCCACACTTTGTTTTCACTAAATAACTTGTCCGGCCCGGCCTGGTGTTTTCTCCAACCAAATACACTTGTAAGATTGCTTTGTAAATTAAACGACAACTAGTGCACATCTGTTTAGTTGGTTTAAAATTATCATTTGTGATAGAAGGATATTACGAGTATTTTCTCTAAAACGATACATACATTATATTTTAGTTCAGGACAAATAAATTACAGAATTAAATGGATAGTCTAAACTGAATGCTTCACTCCGTCAAGGCTTTAAAAAAAGTTGTCGTAAACTCAGGTGTTAACGTTATCTGTCTGAAGCACGTGTCACACTTACCTTGCAGATCTTTTATATATATATATATATATATTGTATGAACAGTCTACTTCCAAAGATACCACGTTGTAAGATATCCCGTCGCAGGTTAGCAGTCGGTGTATCAGTTCAGTTTTGAGTCGTACTCACGAAGGGAATGAGCCGTGCACATCGCTGTGTGTGCATTGCCATAAAATAGTGACAGCGTGGATAAATTATGTGTTGACGGATTTGACAAATATTTGATCAGTTTTACATAAATTAATTAATTGCTAACATTTCTGTAGAGTTATTTGCTCTTTCTGGCACGACCCCGTATCTCGATAACGTCGCTGAGATTTAACAATCCGCGGTCGTCCACCACAAAGAAGTCAAAACGGAGTGTCAGTTATAATAGCAGCACCATTTAATAGTACTAAACTGATTTTATAACCAGAATTTTCTGGTTTTTGTTGTTTTTTTGTTTTTTTCAAATAGAGAACGAAGTTCTGCTATACATTAATCCAGTTGTCTGGCGGTGTGATTACGTCATATGACCCACATAGAACAACGCGTCACTTCATGGCACGTCTTTTTTGCTCTTAAATCTTAGTTTATTTTCATAAGCAGTTCCGCTTCGTAATAGTCAATACGTATATGCATGGGCGTAATAGCGGCATTTATTGGTGCGTGTTGATGTTTATTGGTTACGTTGCCAGTGTGGATAAATAATACTCATTCCACTAGTATTGCATCAATATGCAAGAACGCTTCATTGGACACACGTGATTTCACCAGATTTGTCATCTGTAGAACTATGACCCCTTGGTGCAATGGTCTCCAATCATATCATTTGCATACCTCGAAACCGCTTTGAGAACTATAAAATGACTAAATTTCACTGGGTTTAAATTTCACTGATTTACCATTTCAGGCATATTCAGTGGGTTTTAAGATTTAGATAATGTGTTCTATGCTAAATTTTTCATATTCACTGGGTTTTAATTTTAATTTTCAGTCAGCGAAATAAGCAAAATTAAAACCCAGTGAATAATTAACATTTCAGAGTACTCGTAGTTGATCATGTGACAAGGACCGCGGGATATGAAGAGCGCCACCTAAGGCGAACAAATGCAATGTACAAATGTACACCCCCTCCCCGTCACCTTCTTCAAAATTGTGCACTGTTTGCTCTGTAGTTGCTAGGTTACCGTGAGTACCGATTTTGAGGCGGAAAAAACCCATTTCAGGTCAATGACCAAATCATTCTTCATATACCATCCGATGTCACCGTAAGTGGCGTACTCGCGAAATATTGATGAACCAGTCTCTGCGACATTTTTTTTTTCAAATATGCTAAAGCGTTCATAGTTTAGAGATCACATGCATTCCAACTTAAACACATATGTGTAAACTGAACACCAAATTTGAAAAAAAAAAGATAAATCAAAAATGCCGCAGTAGTAACATTCGAGTACAAAACTGGGCCACAGACCATGGATGTATAATACCGCCATGCACAGACCAAGTGAGGACGCATTTTAGGGATGCTTTAGTTCAGGTCACAACATGTTTGCTGCAGGGATGGTGCGTCCGCTAACATACCTTCTTGGAGATCAATTGATAAAGCAGCCTACAGGGAAGAAATGTGTTAACTCAATATTGAATTGTGCAAAGGATTATGGGTTTTAAGATTTGAACTGTAGAGGGCGTTTGAGAGGAACATGCAGGGCATTGGGTTGCACACCTTCTTAGCTCTCATTTGCCCTTCAGGAAGGTAGATGGTGTGTTGAATAAATACAGCATACGTATGTAGTTGTGACTAAATGTATTTTTATTGAGCTTTGATCATGCCTGAAACACAACAGCTCACTGATATTTTATTGAGACGATACGACGAGTTAAGAAACTTGATTGTTGCTTCAAATGGTGTTCTTTTGTTTTCTATACACATGGTTACCATGGTTACGTAGATCTGTGGAAAACGTGATGGCGGAGGAGATAGAACGTTATTCGAAGGAAGAAACAAGTTTCGTTGAAATCTCGCTCTAGCGATAAAGATTTAGTTGAGATAATTCTAAACTATTAGTTTTGCGGTGCGCAATCAGTGTAAGTTATTTCCTGTCGTAGCTCATGGCGTATGTGAATCGTGTCAGAGGTCATACGACTGGGGAAAAAAATGAAACTAAACTAAGCTAAACTTAAATTGGTGCACTTTGGCACGTATGACGGTGAATATAGCTCCTTAAGCTAGCAGTATTGCAGCAGTAACAGCTGTTACTATAGCAACGAGTGAAGCTACACCATGAGCAGCTGTATTGTACGCTTTGCTGTTGCATTTATCAGATTCACAGCACGTTTCTTTCCACCTATAAATATAACCAAAATAAGTAATAAATTACTACAGACCCGGATGTTACATTAAATATCACGCTGCATTGATAATAGGGACAATTTAAGACGCAATGGGGACCACTTGGAATATGTATTTTTAAATAAATTTGACAGATACTGCAGTTCAAGTTAAGCACTAGAATATGATTGATCGTTTGTTCAATTAAATCTCATGTATGTGATTACCTGTACGTATTATAATTCGAGTACGCATGCGCGTATTAGAGGTTTCAGTATCCATACTGAATTTTGGAAAAGTGGTGGACAAAATATTGTATGCTAAATTCAACAGAACTTTGCTCACTGAATCAGATACGGAATATTGTTGTAAACGGCGGGCAAAGATTTCTCTTAAACAGATAAAGCGGGAGGGTCGTCACCTGCGCACGCGCGGGAATTGAGTCCCAAGCGATGATAACAACACACGCTGAGAACACAAAGGCTCATGGGTAGAGGTGACAACACCCCCTCTTTAAAGCTTTACCATTTGAAATCGAGGAGGAATCTTTTCGCCCACACAAATACCCAGAATCCTTTTGTTTTCACTTCTTCTTTAATACAGAACTGATTGATTGTTAAATACAAATATTAAATAACTGCTGAGGTCTGGGCTCCAGGGTTAGTTTTGTTCAGAAAATATAACTTACCAGTTCCTGAATGGATGTAGTCAATCTCCCTACAAATAGGGTGGCATGAACGGGTGACTGACGTCAAATCGTCATTCGAAAACATGACAGCAGTCTATTCGAAGAAACCAAATACAACTTAGTATAAATAACTATGAATAAATTTATTTTTATAAATTTAAAATTCAAAAAATTACAAAAAATAGGAACTAAAAAAAATGTATTGATTAGATATATGATTGGAATCTATGTAAAGATGTACCACATGATTTGTTATGTGGGTTTAACAATTTATTCATGAATTTATTCATAATACATAAATATGCAAAAAATAATTTTGACTGTAATTTTCATTTACCGAAATGTTTATTAGGAGTTAACGATCGGTTCTCGCCAACCGGTCAATGTAAATGCACACACGCACATAAGGTAAACAAGGGCGACAGTCTCTTTCTTTAGTTTGAATCCGTTTTAATGATGGCTGACCCTCATATAGTAACAATATTTTATTATCACGTGATGCAAGCTGAACTGTGCCTTTACATGTGTTGCCTAGCCAATTATCCACTTACACTGTCATAGATATTTTGCTTATACTTCCGGTTAATGGCGCGAATATTTGGATGTCGTTTATTTTTCCATGCTACGTATATCACTGATTAATTCCCCCGCTACGACAAACGGTTAGGGTCATGATACACAGATCAACAAGCTGCAATTTTAGTCGACTACAAATATTGTTCTGTGTTACATGCAATGTAACAAGTTGGCAGCGTGCCATCAACATGAACATGTATCTATTGAAATTGTCATCTAAGCGTTAGGCCGTCGCTGATTGGCTGCTTAGCTGGAATGCCAATTTTTAGTTTTAAATACCCCGGACTTAGTGTTCTAGGTTCTTCGCGTAATTAGGTGTTCGTATGCAAGGGATTTTCCACACAAAAAGCGCCGAATTTGGCCGAAATTTCTCATCGGATTGGCTTAATATAACCCCAACGGATCGCATTTTTTGTGAAAGATTTGTATTTTTGTCCTGATTTGTAGGAATCTGAAAAACGCGTTTCACAACTTGTCTCTTATTTAGTTTTATGCGTCATTCACGATGGCGGCCCCCATATAGTAAATATCGTATTTATTTTATTATCACGTGTGCGCCAGCTGACTGTGGACTGACCCATCAAGAGTTGAACTGTTGCACAATTTTCGTGATTTGTTGCTCCCTATTCTCGTTGCAAACAAACTCATCTTTTTCAGCGAGTAATTCTTTCAATTGCTTGGTTTTAGTGATCGGTGAGCCTTTTTATTGCGAAAAATGGCATGATCTGTTCTGCCTGGGTCGCAATTTAAAACAAGCATCCTGTTGGATGAGATAGCTCCGCTGTTAGCAATGCACATTTCAATTAAGAACTGAAAGATATCATTAGAAAATGAACAATATGTATAGTAATAAGCAATCAGACTTGTGGTTTTTAACAAGAAGTCGAAAATATCAGTTTTACCAAAAATGACAGAAATATTCATCAAAATTAGAGAATTAAAGATATCCTCACGAAATGAACAAATTTAAAAGAGGTCCACATGTAGTACTATATATGTATTATCAAAGCAATCGGACTTTCCGTTTTTAACAAGAAGTCGAAAATACCACTTTTTATCAAAAATTACAAAAACATTCATAAAAATTAGTGAATTGAAGATATCATCACGAAATGAACAAATCTGAGAGAAGTCCACATGTAGTACCTATATATGTAATATCAAAACAATCGGAAAAATATAACTTTTTACCAAAAATGACAAAAATATTCACTAAAAATAGAGAATTTGAGATGTTGACATGAAATGAACAAATCTGTGAAAAAACCATCCAAGGTACTAGCATATCAAATTTGAAAACATTCTGACTTGCGGTTTCGAAGAAGAAGTTGAAATTGTAAAGTTGACGACGGACGACGAGGGACAATCAGTAATATAAACAGCTCCGCTGTATCGACTTTGTCAACAGCGGAGCTAAAAAAACGCTCTACTGTATTTTGATACAAAATAGCTGATTGGCTGTTTATTTTTGTAGCATCTCTCCACCTTGTCGTTAAGGGCGCCTATTAAATACACACTGTGGTGGTTTAATCTGGCGAGGGTTAGTTTGAAAAGGGTGACTTGCAAAAACGTTCCTTGGCTGGTGAAGATGCCCTAGCTCTTGCTGGCTAGAGTCAATGACCAAGTGCATAAGTTGTGTTCGTGTAATTCCTTAAGTCACAACGTGAAAAAAGAAAGTAATGTTTTGTTGGCCCATTGAGGACGCAATCAAACATCAACTGACTTTGAACGTTATCCTCGGGGGCGGACATCCGGGCATTTTCTACCGCCTGGCAACCCTCGCGGTGAAAACAAAGACAAAAAACTCGCAGAAAACGATACTTTGCAATGGTTGTTGAGAGTCCCCTGAACAGTGTAACAAGATTAGCCCTACGTGTGTAACATATATGAATTTGGTTGTTCAGGATTACTTCAAAGTTGAGTTTGTGTTGTTTTCTCGAGTTTTCACCGGCTCAACCGGCGTTCCACAGCAGCGCGCACAAAGCCCATAGAAATACGTGGTACAGTGGTGCGCGTCTTAGCAACGTAGAACGTCTGTGACGTAGCTCCGCCCCCGAGGATTAACCACTTACGTTGACAGCATTCAACCATGAGTCGACGGGAAGTCATTGTGTAAGGAACTGATTGACATCAAAATAATGATCAATTGTCTAAATTATGTTGGTTGTCATGGATTCAGGTTCATACACAGAAGATGATATGGGTGAAACAAATTCTCGGTAACAACAAATGTGGAACTACTGGCTGAGTAAAAATTATAACGCCAATACAGACGCAGTGGTGGGATATCTCCTTAGTGCGAGAGTTAGAAGGATCGAAAAGGCTGTGATTCAGTGTACTGCGCCCTCTAAGTTTAATATGATATGTGCGCAAAGACGTCATGTCCTGTTACATGAATATTTAAGTCCCAGAAAACGTTACCAAGTGGTAGGTATCTTTACACATTCCATGATAAGTTCTATACTAGACCTAGCTTGAATAATTTATATTTAGGTTTGAGATATTTAAAAAGCACTCTTGATTCTGAATCGTCCACAGAAGCTAGACGAAGTACCCATGGATATTCAGTTCAGCTTGCCTAGAGCTGGTCTTCTGATTCCCTGGAAATCAAGGAAACAACCCGCTTCCTTTGTCCTTATTTGACACTAAATGTTTTCCAGCCCAATAATTCACTATTAGTTAACATATTTGGTGAGCCATTATTCCTAGACAACCTAGATACACGGACCTCTTCACTGTCTCGTGAATCGTCAGTTTTATGTTATTTTAACGATAACACCAGTGCATCAACTGTGGGTTGTATGCATTGTTAACCTTGTTGTATATTGTCTTTCAGAATTTATTTTAAAAAGCTATAACAACAGGGAATGTTTCAACAATAACATTTTCCAGCCACATTTATTAAGCTAGAAAGCTTTTAAACTAAGTGAAATCTACAATGAATGGATTCAGAAAACCCAAAATAGATGCAAAAGTGATGGTATTAT